TCTTCCCCCGTGCTTAGGAGAGCCGCCCCCTCCTCGCGGGGTGGCGGCGGAGGGCGACGATAAGGGGCTGCTGCGGTGCTCGAGGCCTCGGCCGGGGGCGATGACAGAGCCCCCGCGCCCCGGTAGCGCCCTCCCTGTGCTCCGTAGCGCTGTGAGCAATGAACCCCCCGCTGTAGCACCCGCGGTGGTGCGGGAACGCCGCTTCTCCGCAGGTAACAGCGTGATGCGTCTTGCCGCTTGTTAGTGACTTGCGGCTGTTATTTATCGTCAATTCGCAGGAAGAGCAGTACTACTCCGAGCAACACTCCTCCTTGATTAACAAGGCCTACCAAACCCTCCTGAACCCTTTGAGCCGTGGCCTCTATCTAGTAAGGTGTCCGTTACGTATTTTATCAACACTCCTATAACTAATCATAGGCTGCTGGCGGTGATGTAATCAATCAGACTCCATCATTAACATGCTAATTAACATTCCTCTGAAGAAGAGGATTGCCAGGCGCTGAAGGGAGACCAAAACCAAGCTTGCCTGATTAGTCAGCTTTTCCGCTGTTTTCTTTAACGTCTTGCTGGTTGTTACCATCTCATTTGCTGCTCATGTTATGCCGATTTGTTTCTCGCATCACACCTTGTGTCTGGCCACGGCTGTTCCTTTGAACTTTCAGCCTGGTCCTTGTCAGCCTTCATTACCTTTTTTTGCTTTGGTTAACTGCTGATCTTTAAGGCCTACCTATGGACTGGTGCTGTTTGTGCACATTTCATGAAATAAACCAGAGGTTTATCAGATAAAAATCTGAGCGAGCCCTACGAAAAGACTTACTATTCAAGAAAATAATTCACATCATTGAAATAGATCTAAGAATGTGCATTTCCAAATGCCCATTTCCTTCACCAGCTGGAGCTGAATGGAGTAGAGCCGGCACAAGAGACAGACTGTGATGCAGACTCAGCATTTCTCATGGAAATCATGGAAATCAATGAGAAATTAGCAGAGCCTAAAAATGAGGATATCCTTGAAGAAATTGGAACTTTAATTAAAGGTAGGTTATGATTTGAAGGGTTGGTACAGAACTAGTTTACTCCATCTTGTATAACACGAGAGTCTTTGAAAGCTTTTCCAGTCTATTTCTTTTAGTATCTCTTAATTTGCATTAGTCTTGAATTGACTCACTGGCCCCCCCAAAACTGGTGTCGTCTTTACCGATTTATGCCACCTACATATCAAATCTGGCTTGAGAAAATCTGTACAACAGTACCTGTCCTGATGGCAAAATAGGTGTTTATATGTAGACTATAAAAAGGAACTTCTCATTCCGCCTTCAGCAGATCAGGGCAAGCAGACTGTTGGAGAAGAAAGAACCACTCAAAATGAAGTTTAATAAAATGCTTGACTGGCTACATTAAATAATTTCCTCATTTATGCAGATGCCATTGCTTTCACCTTCTTCAACTTAGCAACTGGTTTGTTAGTGGCTATTAATTATCCTTATACAAGCAACTTTCTTGTTTATATTTCTGGTGATACCCAAACCACAGGGTTTACGGGTGTATTTACGGGTGTATTTAATTCTTTGCAATAGCAGCGGTGTGCCAAAAGCGAATAGAATAGCTAGAATAAAAACCAAGTGGAATAGAAGAAAAGTAACTCTAGCAGGGTGAACTGATACACCAAAAGCATGCTACATTTCTGGGAAGGTAGTGAGCATTGATTTGCATTGGAATCGCTGTCTGTAAACCTGTTCAAGGAAAGAAATGTATCTGTTTGGAATGATAAAAAATCAAATTGACAGCAGTACTACAGAAAGCTCTCTTTGCCCCCTAAAAGACTATGAGACTGGTAATTAAGTTTCCCACCAGATAGCCACAATGCAGGGGTATTAAATATACTAAGTACATAACTAAATGTGAATGAAATCATTTGTTTTACAGTTAAACAAGAAGAACTGACCAAAGAAGTGACTGCAGCTTTTGAAAGAGGTAGCGATTTCTATGATATACTCACCTGCCGTACCTGTCAGTGATAAACGCTTAAAAACCCACGTTCTCCTATCGGCAAATATTTTCTGAGCTGCAGAACAGAAATGCTGCACAAACAATCGCTCTTTGTTTGGTATTTAGAATAAATACTTCCAAGCTGACCTTTCTGCTGATGCAGGAAATTCAGGACCTTGCATTAAATTTTAAAAAAATCCAGTTAATTCCATTTGCATCAAAATGATTGCTTCAAGGGGGAATGCAGATGCTAAATATTTTTTGTTTGCTTGTTTCCCAGAAGGCTGGGAAGGATCACACTTGCCACCTATTCGGGAGTTTCAAACTTGAATTTGGGACATCTTGCTCTGCAGACGTGAAGCTGTCAACAGAGCAGCGGGTACCGTTCTTTGCAGCGCCTGTCCAGACAGGAGCAATTCTGCTGCTTAAGCTGAAGCCGTGTGGCAAGAAAAGGCCCGATGCCTCATTTAGCCTCGGGGTTTAGGGACTTCGTGGGCAATAATCGGCACAACTTTATTGCACAACCAGTTGACAGGCAGGAGCTCAAATGAGTCCGGACTAGCTTCTTACTCTGGGAAGAAACCTTTGCGTTTCTCTCCTGGGCCCTGGAATGCTTTTATTGCCAGGTTTACCTGGTAGCGTGTTGTAACTGTGAAACGTCCAACGCAAAGCAGTGGTGGCTGGGCCTGCGTGTGAGGAATTATAAACGTCTCGTCTGGCGCTCTTTGCACTGTGAGAGTTAAGGATTATGTTGCATCTGGCCTTGTCAGTGGGTGATAAACCACCTTGCCCCTCCAATTGTTTCATTAAGGAGAAACTGCTTCCACACCCGTTTTGGAATTGACACTCTCCATACTGGAGTTCTACAAATCTTTTGCATTTTTCAGTGATGGCAGTTGGTCTAATTACATACATTAAAAAAAAAAAAAGTTTGTCTTCTCTATATACTTAAAATTCCTCAGTGGCAACACCTATACTGTCGCCACTTTGAAGTCATTAAAGGGTATTTGTCTCACATTTCTTTTCTAAATTGTACATTTTTACCTGTTTTGTGGAACACCTCAACTGAGGTGTTCGGAAACCATCCATGATTAAAATAATAGGAAACATGCTTTTAATAGCGTATGGGTCCTCACCACTTGCACCACTCACTGAAATCTTCAGGCTCATTTTGAAAACAAAGACTCAGCCCTCCCTCTGTAACCTAGTCATGTTTTATTTCATTTCAGATGATCTTCAGGAAGCTAAGAAGCTTCTAGCCAAAATGAAGTATTTTGCAAACTTAGAGGATAAACTAAAGAACAAGAAGATCCCTTCCTGATGCTGCCTCCTTCACTGTTAAGAGTTACTGTTATTCTCAATTAAAGACCTGATTTACTACCAAACTCAGAAGAGTGGTGCTTGTTCCCTACCTTGTCATGAAATATGAAGAATTTGTTTTAAACTGAGAGTCCTGGATGAAATGTTGGGGATTAAGCTCATTCGATAGGTCCTTCGAGCTCCCTGTGGTCTCCCTGCGTGTGTTCCATGGAGACCACCTTGAAACACCTTTACGGGCAAGATGTATTTAACTCCTATCATCTGTCCTCTCTGCTACCTCATGCCTTTTGTGACGTTCGTCTCAGTCTGCCTGAACTGACCCTCAAAACTAGAAGAGGGTTTACCCTCTTGCAGAGTTTAAAATGTTAAGACGCTAGATTAGGGCAAAGGAATAAACCCAGACTCAAACCCTGGAAGCTGTTTTGTTAGTACCCTTTTAGGAAACAAGTCTTTCTAATAAACTTCATTGCAAATAACCGTAATTCAGCTGGGAGCTGTAGTATTTTTATACAGTTACAGCAGTAGGACTAGATGAGGAATGTCCTGAAGTCTTTCAAAGAAGTTATTTAAGTGAAAAGCAGCAACTAAATACCCCAATTTATATATAAACTGGAATATTTCAAATGCTGGTTTCTCAGTAGGCCAGTTCTTATTTGGGTTTTACCACCTCAGAATATTTTATTCAGTAAAGGAGTAACATATATTTGATCACCCAAATCTGAAGATGGGGCTCGGAAATAAAAGAAGAGCTACTGCATTATCTGAAGAAATCTGCCGGGGAGGAGGAATTCACTGAACACCCTTTCTGCAGCCCTACAACATCAAGTCTTCTACGTATAATATAATACGGTTTTAATAGCATTTCAGCAATACATGTATTTCAGAAAGATTAACTTGCCTTTAATTAAACTTCCTCTAATACACAGGAGGATTTAATAAGCTACTTGTTCGTGGTATTACACTGCTAATCTAGAAGACGCTGTTCATAGTTCTTGTTAGTTCTCTTACAGCTATGCAATTACACAGAATTTTTTTTAAATTCATCACGGAGTTGTCTTCTTTCATAAAGTTCTGTTTCCTTTTTTTTGGTATTTCTTCCAAAATTAAGCCTGTGAAATTCCTTTTTGATTTCCAGGAAAGATTTGTTTTTTGTCTCGGGAATGACGAGGAAGAGGAAAGCAGCAACTATGGCGCACTCCAGTACAAACACCAGGAAGCAATACTGCTTCAGCCCATTCTGAAAACAAAATGTATTTGATTGCCACATACTTCAAGTATAATAGTGCGTCTGGGAAAATAAAAAGCTGCTTGTTTCCATTCACACCTAACATTGCTGCTCCAATATTTTTAACAAAAAGACATTCAACCTATCCTTACTTTGCATATAACGTTTAAAAAAAATTTTTAGATAAAACCAAGTGCTGTGCAATAGCCTTGGCAGTCTTTTATTAGAACAAGACAAATAAACCCAAGTGTTTCAACACACACTAAACCAGTCACAATATAATGAAAAGTCAGCATTTGCTGCTTAGCTGTTGCATATTCCAAGGTTATGCAATTTATCTTTTTCTGAATGTTTATTAATACTTTTCAATCCTATACATTAAAACCCGTATCTTCTCGAGAAGCAGAGCTGAACCAAGAAGGACGGACTGTCAAACCAAGGTGTGCTGCTGCGTGCTGCTCCTGCATGTCTGGCTCTCCAGAGTAAGTGCTAACACTGACAATCCAGAGCTAGACATGAAAGCCTGCATTGTTTTTCCTAATAATCTTCTTGATCGCAGAACTTTGTATGCAAGTGTAGCGAGCTCTCAGAGAGGATGTGAATCACCAGCCCCACTTCTACTTCACTTTGACATAAAAGCGCAAGGCGCTACTGAGAAATGTGTTACTTGAATCTCAATATCTGATTAAGTTTTTCTAGTTCTGACACCACCTCCATTTTTTTAATCTGAACATGAAAATTACCCCCATGCATTCCTGTTAATTTTCATTTACCATGTTTTGTTATTTTTTGTTGCTACCTAAAAAATATTCTCAGAGGGACTGAATAGGGTTATATGCAGTTGAGGGGTAGTAAGCATCCTGTCTTTAAGTGTTATTGTATAAGAAAAAGCAATTTGATGGAACCTGAGAGAAGATTAATGGGAGGAGAGGCAATCAGCAAAATGAGTTATGCGTACTTACCACTATGAAGGGAAAGA